TCAAGCGGTTCATTCAACTGAAACAAGACAGGCAGGATTTGTCATTCCATACCATCAAAGGGCTCCCCGTGTACTCGGACCTTTGCGCCACATAAGAGAACTAAGAGTCTGCCGTCGTGTGGTGTGAATGATGGCTTGTAAATTGCGTCATATCTCACTATTAAGAGCAAGGATTCCTGTTACCTACATCCCGCATGCGTCACAGGCTTGTATCACCGCCAAAGTCAGGCAAGGCCAATGGAATGACTAGACTATCCCAGTCCAGCTATTCTCCCAGTGACCTCTTGAATTATCTGGAGTGGCCAAATTGTTTGTCTGACCTCCGTATACAATTAGCAGCTGCCTGACCCAATTCAGATACTTAAGAGTCACTTGTCTAGCCACTTTCAGGATCTGAAACTGCCCATAAGGTGAACCTAGAGCGACTTTTGGGTGTTTCTGAACTCAAAAATATGAAGTCACTGGAAACACCCCCAATATATCAGGGATGGTTATCGAGTGTTGTCTTGATGTTATCGTGGCCAGCGGTGACTTTCTAGGTCAAGTTTTCATAAATGTAGCCCGCTGGAGATATTGATAAGGTCACATGTTGATTGACTGTCTTAGATAACGATAAGAGATCAAACGGAGATAACAAATTTCCCAACAGTCAACAATTTATTGCAATGACTACATTAATCCATGTCTTTCTTCAAGTAGCAGGTGACAATGCCCCATTCCTCTCCATCCTCATTCAAGATCTTCGCCTCTTCGCTATCTACCAGCGTCCGAAACCGCTGGACCGCTTGAGCAAATTCAACAAAGAATAGGGACAGGCCGAGTGGCAGGGCTGGAATTGTCTCTTTGTCAGTGGTATCACACATGAAAGGGAATTGGGCTTACACTCCTGCATAGACACCAATAGCCAGTCCACGGAACACGACAACCCGTCAATGTGTTTCTCCGCGGGGTTGTTTGCAGCTGATTATTTGAAACAAATATAATTTATATATACTAGGTGCAAAAAGGGGATTGCAAGGACACTTGACATGAGCAAACGAACGTAGAGTAAGTGAGATATTAGCAGGAAGGAAGTAAAACAAATAAAAAAACAACTAGTACTCAGCATGCCGAGGGCTCGAACATACAACATGAAGAGCAGGATCACAAGAGCCATCAGTCGGACGTGATAACCACCTGAACCAAGGAAGCATGGAGAGGCTGAACCAAGACCGCCAGCTGTCATGGCGTGCATTCTCAGCTGGAATCGTACTGAATTTTGAGCTGGGTTGTCAAAGGCGGCGGCCAATTCTCAGTTGGAGCGGAGCACGTGGGCTTAAACGTGTTTCTCAAGGCTCGAGGAAGTATTCAAGTGGCGGGGTCAATTGTCAGGAGCTATATAGTATAGGGAAACCCAATTGGTTATATAGGGTGGTGGCTGTGCAGGGAAAACCCTCAGAGATTGTAATGAAGTGGTCAGGGAAGAACCCTGCCCCATAGTTAGGTGACTACACCCATTGTTGTGGCGTTAGTTGGGCGCTCGGCGGTCCAAGCGGTGTCCGGGGCAAGGCGAGATGGGAAATGGAAGGATGACGATTGATAAACGAGCCCAGAAGAGGGCCTTCCTGGGACCACTGAATCCCAGTCTTACTTGATCCAAAATCAACAATGTGAAGATGCGGAAATGATAATGTTTCGAATGCCGGTGGAAGGTGGAAGTCTCCAATCCAATGCCTATTCAGATGAAGCCCACGAAGCTCTGTCGTCTTCAGCAAAATACAGTTGATAGCATTTTCGGTTTCTTCTTGCCTGTTGGATGGTTACAGAAAGATAGGAATGTCGACAAAAACTGACCTAATATGATTCGTTTTCATCGATAGAAAGGTTGTATATTGCTGATGACGAGAAATAGAGACGGAGATGGCAAACAAGTAAATGGTCGTCTTGGTCGTATTTCGAGGCAGACCGTCATCGTCGAGCTCTACAGTCCGATAGAGCCCGGGAACAGAGAGCTGCTGGAAAAGCCGGCAAACGCGACACAAGGCCGCTTGGGTGCTGATGTCGCAGAAGGAAATAATCTGTAGAATTATTTCGTTGGGGAAGACGTCGAGAAATGACTGGTCGAGCACAGACAGCGCTGGCATCGACATGACGGCTGAAACAAAAGGTCAACAGCCAGGGCGACAGGGTGGTGTAGCCTGCCCTCAGAGAAATTGGGACAAATTCCTAGTGTCTGAAAAGCTGCAAAGCTATCAGCCGAAATAGCGCTGAGAAGACTAGTCGTACGTTTTGGCATCTTGAAATCCTGCCTCGTCTCTTTATTGTGTAGCAGGCGCCATTGGCCGGGTCCTCGGGTGTCGTCGCTGTCGTGGAATCGTGAAACACTCTGAGGTGACAACGAAAGGACAAGTAGAAATCCTTTTGTTCAAGGCCTTTGAATTGGGCACAGCCTTTATCCATTCAATTACGGTTTGCTTCAGCGTCCCGACGATATTGGTACTGAAACCAAACCCGTCGGACGATTTGAACCGGTATGGGAGAGGACATCGTCGATGGAACAATTGTAGCCTCGCATCTGGCCCCCAAGAGCGTCAGAGGACACGTAAACAGGAAACACGATAAAAATAAATACCATTGTGAAGCACGAATTCATTGAGAAAGAGCAGCCCCTAGCTCCAGATGCTTAATAACTGTAGCCAAGGAAAAGCTGCGGCCAAAAGCCAGTCAATGCTGTCAAATGGCCAGCCTTGGCACATTCTCCATCTTTCACATCCTGGAACCGACCTTGAGAACAAGAACAGCGTCGAGATTTGGTCGGGATCTTGAAGGTTGCGGGAGAAGTTACACCATTCGTGCACGTGAAACCCATATTTTCGACCGACCTTGTGCTTATGTCGTCCTTCTGGTCCACCAAAGCCAGTCCATGATCCCAGAGTTGGTCCTCCTAACGAGCCCGAGCCAGTCTGCTTTTTCCCAATGCCGGTGCAATTTTCTCGTCCAGGTTCTGGGCTTTTCGCAATGCGCATGCAGCTCGACGTGCAACCGTTGGACAATGTAGCATGGATCAAGCAGCGAAACTGAATATTGAATGGACACCTCGGAGGGCCTTTTAGTCGTCTGGAGTCCATAAGAGACCATGGTACGTTTTGCGCTCTATAGATATTATTGTTCGACAAGGCTCAATAAACCGTTTTAGATTCGGTATTTGCCTTATTTTTCTAGGGTTCCTGTTGGACCTAATGGTTTGTTCCGACGGCTACTATGGGAGGAGGCTGGAGCAGATGGCTGTTTACAAAGGAAAACCCAACGATGTCGGAGAGGCTTGAGATAGGCTGGTGACCTGGTCTTGACATCATTTCGAGAAAAGATCCTGGTGCGCTGTTTACCAGAAGCTGACCTAGACAAGCTAATGTCTGATAGGTCGATTTTCCTATTGGGCAGCCCTGGGAGCCACTGCCATTGGTCTGGTTCATTCCTTGGTCATTCCAGTTTGTACGTGCCGTCTTCCCGTTTCCCTCGTCTTCTCTGATCAGATTGCTTTAGCTATGGCTATGCCTTGTCATGGCTGAATACAGCTCATTTCGCCGCCGTCTGTCCAGGTTCTGCTAAGGACACGTACGCGTCCATCCGACCAGTCGACGCGCTTGTTCGAAAACGGGTCTGGCTGGAAGACCGTCATGTCGCCCTCGGAGCCTCTTCGTGGGTTATAGTCCCTTTTCGAGGTCTCAGGGCCGTTAGCGACGATGGAAAAGCTGGAGAGACCAGGACTGAGGTATGTCCTGCTTTCACCTTGTTCATCTTGAGCTGAATTTCTTGCTCTTCTCAGCTGGGATTCGTGGAGCCGTGACCGAGAGGCAGAAGGAGGAGCGCAGGTTACAGGCAACTTGAAGCCGTCTGGTTCATTTTCACTTTTGTGTTTACATTTTTTTCCAGTTTCCTTTCTGTTATCAGACGGCTCTACTCCAACGTCGAAGCGGGGCGATCAATTCTGCAAGTTGTTGCCACCTTTCGCCAACCGTATCTGTTCCTCCCCTAACTCGCTCAAGTCGGCGACGTTATTGTTTGGGCCATCTTCGCATTGGGCCTGTCATTTATTTCTTCGATACCAATGTGAGCAAGCTATCTCTGTCGTCTGGCTTCATAACTGAATTACCTTTGTAGCCATAGGAGACATCCGATCGCTATAAAAGGTCGACCTCCTACCAAACGCCCCTTTACACCTTTTTTCCTTCAACCACCACCACCTTTTGAAAACTGAATTCTTCTTCAATGGCCGGCACTTTGAACCCTCTTTCTATTGCAAAATCTCTCACTCGGAAGACATTATCGGTTTTGACCAAGCGAAACAAGAGAACTGGTTCCTCTTTCTCCTCAAGTGTACCACAGGCTGTCATCTCTGCTGGCCTTTTTGCTCCCATGGCACTCATGGATAGGATACTGGAACAGGATAATGAAGAAGACGAAAAAGAAACTGTCTACGATTCAGATTCCAGCACCGACGAGGACGAGGACGACCAAGCTTCCAAAATCGATTCCGTCGACTATAGCATCCCTTTTTACTTCCCTCCATCCACCGAAACCTGTTCCACAATCATCCCAACATTCGACTGTGACACGTTCGAGGAAGAATGGGCAGAATTCGAAGCAGAAATGATAAGGTTCAACACGAAACATGTTTTCGACAAGTCAGAATCGAGCTGGCTCTTTCCGTATCCTATCAAATTGCTGACATATTGTGGGCGAGACTTTATTGCGATGTTTGTTCTAATTCCGACACTGTTTTTTGTATCGCTGGCAGGATTAGCCTATCTTGCTTTGCCTAGTTCAGATTTAGAGGAAGAGGATTGAAGGTTTTACTGTATCGTCAAATTGTAGCAATTCAAATGTATTTTATTCTTGTCGTTCCCTGGCTCCCGAACGTACTGAATCAATTGGTTTTCATCCCAGACCGCGAGCAGAGGTTCGGCTGACTGGTCTGTAGCCCACCGCGAGATGTAATGACGTATCACGGTGTCAATTATGCGGACGAGGGTACAGCGGTAGCACTGTCCGCCTATACAGCGTCTATGGAAAGCCCTGGTTTGAATCCGGGTCGTTGCCTGTTAAAATCCATCGTTTTTTTGCCTACCGATCTATCTGCCCGCTTCCGCTTTTCGGTTGCGAAGGCCTACAAATTCATCGTAGAGCTCTCTTCAGAAACTCGGATGTGTACAACGCTGCTGATACATTTCTCCAGTTCCATATCGAATGCATGATAGGCTCAGACACCTGGTCTCTCGTACAAATTACAGTAGCAGAATCAGACAGCGCTTGGCTGACTCCAGCCCGAATCGTTGGTATCTTGAAAGAATATCAGTTTCGGGCAAGGTTCATGAACTGAGAGCCTCACTGCGTGAGCCCTCTTCAAGTTTGAAATGGGAGAATGGCTTCGAATCGGTCTCTTGCTGGGAATCAACATGGACCGAGACCCTGGTTCCGGTCTGATTGCGCCACAGTCAGTACTTGCTCGTGACATGAGAGAATCGTATTCGCACCCCTTCTTGAGTTGTAGAACGACCTGGCCGGAACTCTATTTGCGTTTGTTGAGTCATTGGGAAGCCGGTGGAATAAGCCAAGTCGCGCGCTTGAAGCGATTCCCGGGCGTTGAGTCTATCGAGCTATGTCATTAGAAGATACAGATGCATTTAAGGGCTTGACGTACGTTGCAAGCAGGGAATTGACATATACTGGGTCACCGAGATCTTAAGCTTCAAGCCAAGCGAATGGAAAGGAATCAGCTCACGCTTGCTAATAGGGAAATACACTGTAAAGATATGAGGATCGAGAAACAAAAGCACTTGATCAGCTTACAGGCCAGGAAGACGTAGTTTTTCATGACAGCATACTGCGTAGATTCAAGATTTAGACGGAGCAAAGGCTATTGTCGCTTACGGTAATGAAACAAGCTAAAAAGCAGACACTTCAAGGCATATCAGTATCATTCATTCCAAAGGTACTTTCGAATTCACCTTGTGAGCAGCCCAATGTTGATCGTGTACGCCATGAGGACACTGATGAGCGAGTCGGTGCTGATAAAAGTTAGTACATTTCTTTTCAACTAATCTCAGCGTTTGACCTTTTTATGCCGCTTCTGGAGCGGTACAGATAATAGCATAAGACCATGGCGATAGCCCAATCCGCTACCACCGACAGAATAAAACCAACGTAGAGCACCCACTGTGACAAGCCGTCAGTAGCGGTTTTCTCTTGAGATTGAAATGCTCTTACTGTGAATTCGGCGAGCACTACGAAGGTCGGGGACATCAAACTACGACTCGCTCAGTAGACTCGGTCGATGCAGACTCGGGGAACTTACGCTTTGATTCCAGATGCTTTGGGATTGTAATTAGGGACATGAGAATTGAATCAATTCGACGCAGTACTCACCCAAACCGTCCACTGTAAGCAATCAGACCTAGTTCCTCAATGAATAAGGTGTAAGACTCACATTGGACCAAGAATATCATCAGGATCAAGGGGTACGTCAAAAGACGACTCTTTCCGCTGACTTATCTCAGGGACTCAATATCGATGTCTTTATCGAGAATCGGATGGCTTACGGATCCACACTCGATACGTGAAGACACTGAAATAAACATCAGCCGTGGTCAAGAAGATCGTAGGAAATCATGCACCTCCGGACAATTGTATCGCTCATGGGCTGAAGAGATGGTCAGGGTCTATATCGCATCTCGATGAGTCTTGAGCCATACCGTGAGAAGGACACCAGCCTGTCGAGACTCATTAGTTCTCTATTTCTCTTAATGATTATGGACTTGCCGATATTGACCTATAAAGAATGGGTTTCGACCGTGAATGGAGGAGAAATCATCTATACCATGCAAGTTTTTCGAGGACGAATGCATTCAAAAAGTTGGTGATCAGATACCTGTATTTCTTCTCGGAAAACGTCACTTCGGAGGCAGAAGATCTCACCAGTAGAGAGCATGGCAGACACAAATCAGGTGAATGGTGTCCAGGGACCTGCAGACCGAGTCAATTTCAGCCGGATTCATATTGAAGCCAATATTAATGGCGTACCATAGCGTCAGAACCTGCGGCGACATCTTGAGCGGGCGCAGACCAGCTTGGAGATTGGACACTCACCACGCCTTTCAGATGTAACCTCTGGTTCCGTCCAGAATTGAAGAAAATGAATGTCTGAACGCAGGTTACACCATAGAGACTGCATGACGAATCGTATTATGCGTCAAACAGTAAAGTAAAAAAGACACACATTGAAGCCAGAATGCCCCCAATGAATGCGGCCCCCAAGGTATTGTCGAACGCTGGAGCTTTGGTCGTCATCGGAAGGGAGGGAGAGATTAGGTCGCGCCAGATTAACGTTCCCGTCCTTTATAATTATCGTCTACATTCGGAAGGTAACGTAGGCGCGTGCGATTATTTAGACCCATCTGAACATAATCTTCCCCCTTTTTCGAGGCCTGGGGAGTAAATTGTCTTGAGTCTTGGCGGATCTCGGAGATGAACGAATCCGGCCGGACCAAGATCCAAATATCACGCTGTCACGGTTTTTCTGATGTGCGTTGACCCTTCGAGACTTGAAGACTCAAGTGACCTCGGTCGTCAACACGCATTTCCGTCTGTTCTATCTAATCTCGCCCTCTACTCTAAGTTTTCCTCTCAGAGTTTGAGCAGGATTTCAACGATTGCAACATTTTCGAATCGCGTTAGCGGGTGTTGATTTGCACTGGCCTTCTTGAAGATTGAGGGATACCAGGTAGCAGACCGTAACAGCCGCTACAAACCCTGTCAGGGGAGTGTCAGCACGGCACCAATCAAGAACTTGCTGGTTTTCTCTACCATCTCACACAAGTATGCCTGACGACCTATGATCTGCCCGAGAGACTACCGCCAGATGGAAACCGCGAACTCAAGTTGACAAGACAGCAATTACTCTGAGCCTCCATCATTATGACAATGTAGAGGAAACGACACAATGACGCTTTATTTTACACCTGAGTCTGATGCTTGGATTTCAATACTATGTAATACGAACTAGGAATGGTTTATCTCGTTTGTATCTGCACCAGATCGTTCTTGAGCTTTCTCATTGAGTTGATGCGTCCACTTATCGTCCAGCTTGTTCTGGAGCGGTAAACCCGGCATTAACATCGACGCTATCAGCCCTATTCCTAGCAAACCTACTAATACTTGCCAAACGACAGCCAAGCTCTCTGAAAAGGCCTGCTGCATCTCCTCCTTGATCGGGGAATCAAGAAACCGAATATTGGGTATGACAGAGTATGTCATATCGAGCTTGAGATTGCCCCCCAACAGCTCCAGAGTAGACTGACTGATCCGAGAACCCAATTGGTTTTGGAGTATAGCAGCGCCAATGGATATTCCCCATATCTATGGTAGATTATGAGCATTGAGTGAATCAATCAGAGAAAGAGATCTCACCCCGGCGAAAGAGCGACAAAACGAGAAAAATGCCAAGGCATGAGCATTCTTCGTCACTGGTAAGGGCGCTAGAACCGGGAAATATGTAGTAGCTGGAACCGTCAGCATCATACTGACATGTAGGATATCGCTTCGACATACCGCCGAGTATTCCTGAGCCAATGGCCATCAAAACCGGTACCCCCGACTGCGAAGGAAACGGAAGAATTGGAGGTCGATGTGGAAAAGATACCAGCTCCGACAATGAAGAAACACCAAGCGATCCAAATCTGCGGTCTATATCGCTGGAGAACCGTGACGCTCACTCCAGCCAGAATGAGCACTAGTGCCAAGGTGAGCGACAATGGTAGCATGAAAACTCCCGATTTGATCACAGATGCATCTTTACAGGCCTGATAGTAGACCGGCATGTAATCTGATAATAAATTCCTTTAGCCTCTGAAAGGTAACACTGTACCGACTCACAGGCGACGATCAGGGTCCCAAGCGAATTGACAAAAGTTTGAACATATCTGCTGGTCATCAGATGGTGCTAACCAAGGTAACTGGACGAACCCGCTCAAGCTGGACCTATTAGAAAGCAATACAAAAGGCACCTATACCATATCAATCAGCCGCTCTGTAAGGCCAAAAGATGTTCTTCACGTACCATGGGATTGCGACAATACCGAGCTTCGTAAACGAAGAATACAGCTATTCCTGCTATCCCGAGGATTAAAGGGATCAGGACCCGTGGTGATTGCCATTCGTAGACGACCCCGCCCCAGGTAAGACCGATGACCATGGATATTGTGCTCGTGATGATAAGTGCATTGCCTCTGAAATGAAATCAGTTCGCAAAACGGACCTAGTAGAAAGATTCTTACATCCAATCTATCCTGCTCAGCTTCTCCCGAATAGTGCCCGCCGGTGTCGGGAGCTTCACCAGCACGAGAATCAAAATCATGGCCAGCCCCCCAATTGGTAAATTGATATAGAATAGCCAACGCCAAAGCCCAGCGTTAGCAAACCCTCCAGCGACTAGCGGACCGATGGCACTGGAGAAGGACCAGGACCTAGAGAGCGAGAAGAAATCAGTAAATCGATTTGCAAAGAAGAATTGCTCTCACAATCCTATGATAGCATTGTAGGTTCCTCTTTCTCGCAAGGACACCATATCGGAGACAATGATACTGGAGATGGAAAGAATACCGCCACCACCGAGACCTTGGATCGCTGACGAGGAATGAGCAATCTCGGGAAGGTTTGAGCAAGAAAGCACCGACTTCGAGCAGATATCAACCATGGCATATTCTGGGCAGAGCCGCATAATGCGCTGCCGAGACAAAAGAGAATCAATGCAAGCAAGATAGCTGGGCGACGACCGAAGATCTGAGTTACAGTATAAGAAAGAGGAAATCATGATAAAAGCTGTGGCGCACCTCTGCAAGACCTCCACTGAGGGGCAAAATTGCTGTGGATGCTAATGGGTAAGCAGAGCCAACCCAAGCAAATTCGGCACCGTGAAGATCATTAATGATTACTGGAAGAGCCGTTGAAATCGCTGAGAGCTCGAGAGCAGCCAAAAAGACAGAAATGGCCAGCGTAATCATCGTCAACCAGAAGGAGAGACCCTTTTTCGCGCTGGCAGGCTG